TAATTTTTTTTTTTTTTTTTTGTAAAAAACAGGATTCAATTCAATTTCATATTCAATTATTAGAGACGGGCAATGTATGTCACAATTGTAATCACAATAAATGAAATTTCGTTGTACTTCGCTTATTTTTTTAAGAAAATAACATAACAAAACAATATTCAAAAGGTCTAACATTTAATATGAAAATGTTCCGACAAACAAAGCGATTGCAATTACTACTGAATCCCAAGCGATCCTTTGCCCTGGAGGATAATTCAACGAAGCAGCATATCCGGATGGAGGGTCTATTTAAGAAAGAGGAAATTACCAAGTCACGTACACGAGACCTAGGAGACATGTTTGAAGAACGATGCCAGAATCTCTTCAGAATAGCAAAAATAATGGACCAAAAATGTCAGATGTGTTTCAAAAAGGACATTTTTAAAACATTTCAGAAAAAGATATAAGATAAGTATTGCAAAAAATTTTTCATTGAATCATTATTATTACCCATCTTTTTTTTTTCCTTTCAATATTTCTAGAAACAAAAAAAACGTCATTAAAAATTAAGTCAATAGTAAGAATATTCTAAAATAATTAGTTTTTTATTATCTATAAAACTTTTTTCTAAAGAAAGACATGTTAATAATATTAATGATATCAAGAGTAACACAATAACTCTGAACATTATTTCATAAAATCAATAAATTTTAAAGAATAAACAAGATACTAAATTTTTTCAAAAAGAATATTTTATAGATGATTATAATAAAATTCTATTCAACAATAAAATATATAATAATTTAAAATCATGATGAAATTTTCATCATCAAAGGAATACAAAGATGAAAAACAAAGGTGAAGAACGAATTATTCAAAAAAGAATTGCTGGAACACGATATCAAACGATCGAGGAAAGAAAGCAGAGCGAAAAGTTATCGTCAGGGATATAACCGTCGTCTTTGGTATCATCTGCTGCACAAAGCCGTAAAGTACGGTGCTCGGTTATTTCGGTCAATCCTCGACGAAGAGGCCGTCCGAAAAATATTCACATCGATCTATACTCAGTGACCTCTCTTTAGCTTCCTATCTCTTTCTCCTGCAACATACTGTAGCGTATGTATACACGCATGTTGCCTTTTACATAACCGTACAGATTCACTTCGGCCAAAATTCTTTCTCCATCCTACATCTTTGTTGACCCTGCTCTCTCTCTCTCTTCTCTCCTTTTTTCTCTAATATCCAATCTTTCATCGGTTTAGCTTTCCTTTTCTTTTTCCTCAATCTTTCTCTTACCCTGTACATTTTCTATCCTGTATTATCGTCGTCACGCTTCCTCCAATCACACAGGCAATTTCTTCCATATCTCCTTTTCTCTTTCAAAGCACAGTCAAAAACGGATACTTTGTATAAATCGGTTCAAAGTGCTCTTTCGAATCGTGCATAAGAACCAAATCAATGGTAATCGATAAGCAAAAGGAATACAAAATATATCGGCAAACAGAATTAATTATAACTATAGTATGATACAAATGGAATATGGATATTTATAAAGAAGTATAAAATGAATTTTTTCCAAAAATATTTTTCCGAAAAAGATAAGAATACAATTTTTGCAATCAGAAAAATTATTTTTATATTGTGTTATTTCATACCGAATGTTCTCTAATTGGAGTGTAAAACACTAATTTTGAGAGACAAAAGTTTAAGTATTTATAAAATCTTTTATTTTATTTGTCAAAGGAATGCTTTGTTTTAAAATAGAAAAATCGCTGAAACACCAATGATTTATTTCATTTATTTTCAATAGATATAATGAGAAAATATTTTTTCATTACGAAAGGATATAATCAATTTAATTTTTTATTTTTCTAAAAGAATCATTGTATGCTTTTTATATTAGAACTTTTTTACTCTTCGTTCTTTTGTCTTTCGTAATCCTTGTGTCTTGTATTCTATCTTCATAATAGTATTATGAAATTTCACAATGGAATGAGAAAAATAAGTGAGGATATAAAACAAAAGATTTTTTAAAAATTTATTTATTAGATTTACTAAGGATTGAGAAGAATATTGATTTTATTAATTTTATATGACATTTATAAGCATAATTTTATAATATGGACACAAGGCTCGTTTTTATTCAGTAGTAGAAAATTGAGCTCAGTCTATTACGTTCAGGTTTCAATTTCAATAAGGGAAGATTGGACAAAAATTATGATCAAACCTTAATAATTTCGACAATCATACATTTATTTTTCTTAAAACTAATATACTATTTACATGATTATTTTATTATTTAAATTAATTTATTTTATGTTATATATACATACAATAATTTATTTTCTATGATTAATTGATTACTTTCTATTTAACTTACTCTTAAATATTATATATATTTTTTATCTTCTAATAGTCAAATTTGTAATATATTCTACTTATTCCACATCCCACTTACCTCATTTTGAAGAGATTCATGAAACAACAAATAAAATTAAAGAATGAATTACATTCGTAAAAAAATATATAAAAATTATATAATAATAGTTAAACAACGAATGTCGAACGAATTTTGTAATATTAAATAACAAACAATCTATTCCTTCATATTTTTCAGAACCAAAAACTGAAATTTTGGGTGCACCAGATTTATACATCAATCGAGGCAGCACAATCAATTTGACTTGTGTGGTTCTTCTAAGTCCAGAACCACCAGCCTTTATATTTTGGAATCATAATGATGCCGTAAGTATGGATGATATATTTAAAAAAATAAATTTTATTCGTTAAAATAAAGAAAATATATTTAATATTAAAATATTTATATAAGCATAAATAAATACAAAGAATAGTGAAGTAAAAATAGAAAGTAACGGAGATTTTCTATATAGATATCAATTTATATCAATATATCATATTAACTTTATATGATAATTCATAAAAATATTTGTTAAAATTATCACTGCTATCTAAAATCTCGAAATTTACATTCGCCGCTTTTTAAAAACATTAAGTGAATGTTCAATTTTCGATTGAATAAAGTTACTTCGAAATCCTCCATCCCTCATTTTAATTTCGAACGATTTTTTCCGCTTCTGTTAATTCCTTTTGATTTACATAGAATGCAAAAAAAAACAATTGATAGTAGTTTCAGAAGTTTCGAGAAAGCAAAAAAATTTAATTTATTTATTTATTACTTTATTAACTTATATTTCAAGTGATAATAATTTTTAAAAGAATATTTTAAATTTAATATTATATCGTTCCTTCTTATATATAAATGGATTAATGATTACTAATAAAGTTTACAAATTTTCTGATTATTCTCTTATTTGATTTGTAATTATAAAATTAAAAATAAAAAAATTTAAACATACAACTTCATTAATTGATAAATTTATTACATTTTTAAATATTCTAAATATTTTAAATATTCTAATTCTTTTTTTCTAACTATTAAATTTTACATTTATCAAGATAATTAATTCTTGAACCATGTTTTAAAGTGCACATATTCAACTTCCATCCATGTCCTCAGAATCTAAATATACTTACGCAAATTTCACCAAAGTATTCTTTGCACTTTCACACTTTTCCTTCATCATAATCTTCAGCAAGGTAAAAATTTTTGTAGATGCTTTTTTCCCGACAAAACAATTATCGTAAATCATATCCTACTTCCATAAACATTGATCACAATTAAGATTTTACTTAAACTTTCAGTGCTTGCAAGAAATATCGTTTTTTTTATTCAACTATCCTCATACGAAAGAGTACAGACTATACCTATAAACTGTAACACCTCAGCGAACGAAACATCTATAAATTTTGATATTCGTGACGTTAGTATCTAGTAAATTGTCACTAGCGATGCGACTAATAATATAGCACATGGGAGACACCATTAGAAACATTAAGTCTGACCAACAGCCTTGGAATTCCCTAGCGCGACTATGAACATATTTAGCAAGCCTCAAGATGAATTCTATTCTGCTAAGCTTATCGTCGTAGCAGTCTAAAACTTTTCATGAGACAACCGGGACTAAAGTAATTTGTGAAACTTCATGCTAGTTCCAAAATGTCGCTGATCTATACTTTCAGATACTTAATAAATTTTAAATAATGTATAAATTTACTTATTTTAATTTGTATATTTTAATTTGTTCTTATTTCTTTTATTTTATGTTTTTTTTTTAATTTTAGAAAAATGAAGAATTAGATTAAGATAACTCTAACTACTAACTAATAATATCTAGAATCTTTTGGTTTACTTCTAAAATCATACTAATTATTGCAACTATATCTTTTAAAAATATTTCAATTCTTTATTATAGTATAAAAAGCACAGAAATACAAACAAAATACATTTGCTGCTCATGTCGACTATAGAATTTAGCCACAGTATTTCCGAAACTAAAAAAAATCAAATATGTGCAAAATATTATAAAAACTTTTCATTGTATGTTATATCTCTAATATCTTTATTATTTATAAATCAAATCTTCCACAATAAATTCTATATGTAAAAATAAATAAAAATTATAAAATAAATTTCTTTTATTTAGAAAAATTAGTTTTCAAAAAATTTCAAAATTCCTCGATTATAATATATATTCCTTAATAGTAAATATGTACAGTAATATATATTCCTTAATAGTAAATATGTATAGTAATATATATTTCTTAATAGTAAATGTTTAATCTCTATTGTCTCAAAAACAAAAATTTAACCAATAAAATTTTATTCTATATTTTTGACTTATTATCACAAATAGAGTAACCATTTATCGAGAGTTTGTTTTCAATTGGGAATTGGCCAATTTCAGTCGTATTTCGATTTTGAAAAAGTTCGATTTTGATTTATTTAAAAACGAAGGCTCAAATAAAAAAATTTTATTCTTCCTTTTCGATTTACTTTTCCACGAAAAATCACCTCCTGCTCGATTATATCATGAATGACGATAGACATTCTGTATAAATCGAAATTACCTCAACTTTTTCGAATCACCTTCAATAGAGCTCTCGATCCTTCGATACAGAGACCATAAATCTTACCAGGGCTGTGACAAAACTGGAAAAAAAGGAAAACGATACACGTCAAAGTCGCGGCTTATACCTCGACTGTAATGGTATTCTATGAAAAAGAGTTTCGCGTGGAGAAACGTTTCGAGAAATGTTTCGTAACACACGTCGTTGGAAGGGGTGCAAACCGATAAAGAGAAGAACACGAAATGTCCCTAGAGGTGAGGCTGGCTAAAATGCAATTCATGGATAATAAAGTCAACGGGATCGATCAATTCATGCCGCGAAACATTTTCCAAATCATCCAAACTCGCTGGCAGTTTCCCCTTACAGTTCAATAAATGTTCTCTCTACGGTTCTCTCTTTGATTTCGATTGAATTTCGAGACATCGTCTCCCTGTTTCATCCACGTGTCACGGTGTGTTTTCTACCGGGTTGTACCGTGTACTTGCGGATTTGTCCTCTTTGCATCGAGGATCCGGTATACACGTACGCCGATGTATTCATTTCTCTCTCTCTCTTCCTGTATTGCCCTCTCTTATTCGATTTCTCTGTGTGTGAACATCTACGTTTGTAAATAGAGAAGACCGAGCTGGTTGCAATTAAATTGACTTAACAATTTGTCAGTTGCCTTTTCACTCGAGCACGAGAGCAGACGTGTCTCATGTATCTTTCGAGTGTAGGTCTAACTCTAACGTTTATTTTCTCTCTAGCCACCGATCGGTATCTATAGTATTGTCGGTGAGTATTTTTTTTTTCCTCTAACGAACGCTATGTATTCATTAACTTGAATAAGTATTATGTTTTTGTCAGTTTGATTAAAAGAAATTATGAAATGGAATTGGATTGATAGCAGTGAGGAAAAGAGTTATAGATCGGTGATAAATTAAGTAAATTGTATTATAGTAGTAAAGAAAATAATTTTTTATGGTTGATTGATTATTTTGTCATAAATTAAAATTTTTTTTAGCAATAAAGTTTTGTTGATATAATTTTTTTTGTTGATATATAATTTATCTAATTAATATGTAGGTGTCGACAATATGTTAGAAATATTCAAAGTGAAAACATAAACAAATACATCTTCTGTTTATTTTTATTTTATTTAATTGTAATTAAATTGTAATTAATTTAGTTAACTTATTGTTATTTATTAATTGTTACATGTATCTTTTCTCAGATACATTGAAAATAATGATAAATATCGTTATATTGAAAATAATAATAAATATATTTGAATTTTATGCATTTTATTCATCTGTACACACAGAAATATATTTCGCAAAAATTATAATAAAAGATAATTAAAATAAATCGTATTTTAATTAATTCGTGTTTCAAATAAAATTATAACAAATGATAACAAAAAAAAAAGATCAAAATCAAAAAGATCAAAGATTTTTACATTTTTTGTATTTCCAACGAAATTGCATTAGTATAAAATCAATAGTATATATAATTTTGTTTATTTTTCTTTTTAATTCAAAATTTATTTCTACAATCAATGATGAAATTAAAGAAAATTTTAATGATCAAACAAAGTCAAATATTTCATTTTGAATCTCACGTTTGCAAATATTCTATATAAATGGAACGATATTTATTTATCTGATTACATTTCATTAACTGACTTTCTATGTCAATTTTCTTTCTGCAAATATCAAAAAGAATAACAGAAAATTATTATTGAACTTTCATTTTGATCAAAAGGAAAATAACTTCAAATATTCGAAATATTTCTCTATATCTTTTAAAGTTAAGTTTCTTGTACATATAATTTTATTTTATAAAAAAAAAAAAAGAAGAAAATTGATCGAGGAACATTATACAATTTTTAATTCGTTATTTCATTTTTAAATAATTATAATTATATAATATCAATATAATCAATAATAAAACAAAATTTATAGTTTGAGCATTCGTGTTAACTTTTATTATCTTAGATGTGATTAATTTGATCGTTCCAATCGATTTATCTGAAAGAAATCCTATTAAGGAATGGTTACGAGATATAATATCAAAATCTTCTTTACGTGGTGATAGTGGAAGATTGCCAAAAAGGTAAAGACGTTGCCAAATCGATTCTTATAGTATTACAATGACAGAAATAAAAACGCATCCCATGGATTTGTAATCCTCATAATAATGGATATAAATTTAATTTAATCTTTAGCATCTTTGAATTTCATAAAAATTTCAATTAAAGAAAAATTTATTCTTACACTTCAATTATTATTTCTATTTGAGAATTGTTTTCATATTTTTGTTATGAATAATTGCTGATAAAAAAAAATATACATTTCTTCAAGAATTATTTCCCATATAAGTTTGATTTAAATTTCAGAATCAATTTGTTCCTTTGTACTTTGTTTCTTTGTAAAATCGTGAAACGTATTCCACAAACAAGATCGTTTTAACAAACACCAAAAAATTTTTCCAATCACAAAACGATTCATATAACAATACAAACTTTCCGCTCATTATAATCGATTTTTATTAATCGTTTTAAGTTCTATTTTTTGTAATGCAAAACTTTGAAAAACTTATATCGATAGAAATTCTATACTCCCTTCGATTTCGACTTGTAACTTTTATCGGTTCTTTTTTGTCGAGCTCGAAACTTTTTCGGATCTTTTTAAAGCAAGCCTTATTTGCATTTAAAAATATACCGACACTTGTTTCAAGATTATTCGAACGATGTAAATATTTATAAGCGCCATTAT